CTAGGTTGTGTGTTTCCTTAAGCATAGAGATAATATGTAATTTCTTTGTGTCTCCATCACCAAGCATCTGGCTCGTAAATTTATTTGTACTATGTTTTTGTAGAATTGATACTTCTGGATAACTTATTGTGAACATAGTATGTTTGAAATGTTTTAGACTTTGCATTTGTATACCTCTTATTTTCAGGAAACTGTATATTAGGAGAAATATAAAGAAAGACAGCTTTTAGTATAATACATAGTATGTTTTTTGAGTTGTCCATCTATAATTTTCTGCATTGCAATACAATAAATATTGTTAATGATCAAGAATAGTATGTCAAAATATAAGAAATTTGACTTTCCTCAGAAGGAAAATAGGCCTTCTTGTGCCAATTGCAACAATTCTGTGATAAGTAACATAGTTGTCAAGAATAAGTAGTAGAGTTGTCAAGAATAAATCACGTATCATATTTTTACAGTTCTGTTAATAGAGTTTTTCCTTAGGTTATCTTAAATTATTCTTTTGCAGTCATTATTCAATCTTTTGGAATTTAGAAGATTAGTTCTGAATTACAAGCCTCCAACAAATGCTCAAGATTTACCTCGAAACCAAAAGGTAAAATTATATAATTATTTAAAAATTCAGATTTTTAAGTGGAGGGTCTTCATTTTTTATTTGTTTTATTTGGGGGATTCGTGCTTCTTATCAAATCTGAAACTGTGAAATTTGACACTACTTTCTGTATAACTTTCTGTTCTTTGTCATTGTATTATAAACATGAATTTTTTTTCACCTGTGTGTCAAGTATTATGGCAGTTTTTTTTGTGTGTAACTTGAGTAATTGCTTTTTTCTTGCACTGACCTAGTGATGAATGAAGAGATTGATCTAGGCAAGTTAAGGTTATTTACGGAAATTATTTTGTGGATTAAAATTCTTAGTATTGGCACTTTTAAAATGTATTTATATAGGGAAATTATAGACGAGGAAGTACCACAGAAAAACCATGGATTAGTTTTCTGTCTCATTTAACTTTTATCATCTATGATGAAATTTATTATACATGTTTTCCATAACTTAGTATTTTTATGTCAGTGTACTTTGTGACCACTAAAATGGTATATAGTTTTTGGATCAAATGGCAAGTATTTGGGATCAGTTATATTCCCTTAAGCCTATTTTTCAGGATTCCTTTTTTAATGCATTCCTATTTCTATAATATATTGATTCGATTAGTCTGAACAGCAACCATGCACATACACACACCCTAAAATTTTATAATGTTGATAATGCTAACCATACAAACTTGGAAATATTTTCTAATATTTAAATGGCATATCTAAGCTTTATCTGTTAAAATTGTGATTGCAAGAGCTAACTGTATAAGAACTGCTTTTGTTACCATAAAGTATTTTTCTAAGGTATGTGAACTACATTCTTGTTAAAAGCTTCCTTCCTGTTTTAAAATAAATTGTTCATGACTGATATTATTGGGTTGTTTTTATTCTTTCTAGAGGGTTTGGCTTAATCCAACAATAAGAATTGAATGCCTGCTTTGTGTAGCAAAAAGTTGTGGGATACAGAAGTGCTTGTCTTTAAGAAGTTTACAGTCTTATTGAGAAACAAAAGTAAGATTTCAGAGGAGCGCTAGGAGGAGGATGATGCATTAGTCTAATATTAGGATCTAGTCCAATTATTAGACCAATATTAGTCTGATAATTAGGATCATCACATGGTAGTGGCAGTTCGTGATTCTTTGGTTAGTAAAAGACATTCATTTTAGTAGATGTGGAGTTTGAAGGAACCATTGACTTGCAGAAGCCTCCTGGGAAGGCTTCATGGAAGAGTAGGGATTTTTGCTTAAAGGGTTTATTGAGGTAAAGCACTTAAGCATTGCCTGGCACGGAGTTACCACCCTGAATGGTGATTGTTATTGCTGTCCTCAGTGGCAGCTGGGCCTTGCTGAACGAAAGGATTATAATAAACAGACGTGAATGAGGAGNTGTGTGTATTCTGTATGAAATATAAATATGATTTAGGAAATGGATATTCTTTTATTTTTATATCTTACGTGACTTTGAAGAGCCATGAACATAACATCTCTTGAGCCCTAATCAAACAGTTAACACACTTTGTACCTAGTTTACCTCTGTAAAGAAAGGTGCATGGGAATGCTGAGGAGATTGTGTCTTCAGTTTGTATCTTTCTTTCCCTTCCAACTTCCTTTTTGTGGATACTACAAACAGTGCAGGCAAGCTGCTTACCCCTAGAAAGTGGGTTCTCCCAACTCCTATGGGGAGAGAGTAGGCAAGGGAATTACAAAGCTTTCTTTATGTTACTACATTAAGGTAATGTTTATATTACATTATTTATATGAAGTTTATTTTTCTGGTGGGAGGAGCAGGAGAGGAGAGTGAGGGAATTTACTATAGGGAAACATTAAAAAAACAAACAAAAAAACCAAAAAGCTTCCTGTGCTTTAGTAATCTTAACCAGTTCTGGCATAAGAAGAATATCATTATCTCGAGGCAGTCTAGATGTAGATTTGGGTTGGGATGTTGACACTTATGGGGAGCATGAGACCTAACAATAGTTTTAATCTGGTCTTGAGGCTGTCTCATTTTTTTATTACTTCATGTGACATACGGATTTTAGTTTTTGCAGATTGGGTATATTTTGTAGAAATTAGGTATTCTGAAGTTTTCCATAACTAATGTCTCTGACCTCGTCATTATGATCAATGTTACCTGGCCTGTTGGCATTATTAAGAAGGGTAAGTTTCTTACTAGTATTTTATTATGATTTGTAGTTAAGTACATATCATGGTACAGGTTCAGCCACCAGGAGATTCAGGATTGAGTGTCCTTCTCCTAGACATTTGACCAGTTTACAGTTCAGAACACACTCTAGAATTCTCCTTTTAGTGGTTACCGTTCACGCCCACCCATACGCCTTTGCCTCTTCTGTCTCTTAGGTGACCCTGGTGCTGATTCTTCTTTCCTATTTGTGGTGGTGCTGCTGCTGCCCCACAGCTCACTGCTTGTTTGCATTTATTCATCTCTAATTACCAAGACAGAAATAAGGTTCCTTTATTTAGAATACATATGCATTACAAAGAGACCAAAATTTTCAAAAGAAAACACTCCTGTTTATAAAAGTCAATAAAAAATCAAATATACCTTCTTACCTACTGCAGTCTTTTGCATATTCTTACCTTTTGTGTACTGTGCATTAACTTTTTTGAGCATAAACTAGTTGCCGTGTACAAATTCAGTGTGCTCAGTTTATTATTATTATGATGTTATGTTATGCTGAACTGTACAACTTAAACAGTAGGAGGCCTCAATTGGCCCTTTGACTTTTTATCTCCTCCTTATGTTCTTGCAAACTTGTTTCTGGTAACAATAGGATATTCTAGATAAATTCTGATTTTCTTCTGCTCCAGTCTAATTAAATACCTTCCGAGGAGCTCTAGTACCTTTTAGTGGTAAATAGTTTGAGAAAAAGCCTTCAGGGGCTGAGGTTGCATTTTGAATATTAGGCAAAGAGTGCTGCTGATGTTGGATCACTCTTAAAAATGACAGAGGTGTAAACTGTTTAGTTTTAAATATGTGAATTTACTTTGATCTTTACTGTTTAAAATATGTTGTTGTTACTTGCCTTTTAGTTGTATGTGGTTTTATTGATTCATTCCCAAAGAAAGACTTTATATCCTATATGCACATAAGTTATTTTAAGTAATTGTAACTTGGAATCTTAACTGCACTGTATCTATTGTCATTTTTAAATAGTGCTGTTAAAGATAAAGGAATCATTTACCTTTTCCTCATAATTAAGGAATATAGCTATATTATTTTGACATTCATCTGATAGGGCAAAACCTTTAGGATAAAGATGGTGTAGCATGAATGAGATTTTCTCAAGAAGCCAAAAAGTTGGGAAACTCATTTTGGCTGAGGTTTTTGTGATTAACACACAGTAGGTTAAGACACCTGAATATTATTTATGCTTATTTAGAGTAGCAAGTAACACATGTCTTGAGCAGGCAGTATGCTCAGTTAGTTCACATGTGGGAATTAGGGTTTTCCAGCATGTTGTTGCAAGAAAGCATCATTAAGCAAATAACATTATTCTTGCCTTATTTAGATATATTTAAGATATTCTGTAGATAAGTTAATTTTGAAGAGGTTAATCTTGTTATTCTGATAGTTATTTCACTAGGTTTTCCCCTAGCAAACCTTTGGGTGAAGAAGTGAACACATAAATATTATCTTCCTTTATTTAGCTGTCATAGAGTCATAGATCTCTAGAACTGAAAGGAACCCTAGAATTTATCTTAACTTTTTTTTATAGAAAAGCAAAGTAAAGGTCAGAGGCATAAAAGTGCAGTTCAGTTTTTAATGTTTTCTTGATGATTCAAAGTACAGTAATACCTTGGTTTGTGGGCATAATTCATTTTGGAAACAAATTACTTGTATTGCAAGACAAGACATTGCTTGTTTACCAAAGTTAAATTCGCTATTACTTTTGCACCAACCTAATGGAAATGTTTGCTTGTCTTGCGAAACACTAGCAAATCAAGTTACTCACAATCCAAGGTTTTACTGTAATTCTTATAAAAACCAGTTATTTTGTTATATTGTGTTAATAAATATGTACTTTAAAACAGTGATTTCTCAGGAAACTTATCTAGGTCCTATATTCCTGGCACTAAACCTCTAATTTGTTGAAACATAATTTATCATACTTTCTATTGTAAACATTGTCTTTGTGTTTGAATTTTTTTTTTCCTTAGGAAAAAAAAGGCTGTGTCTCTCGATCTGTTGGCATCACCACTGCTATGTTTTTAAAGAAAACTAACCTCTACTTGAATAAATATAGCCTTAAATATTACTTCCCCAGATACATTATCTAGAGCTTAAGTAATTAAAATCCTTAGTTTATGGTGTGCTATTTCCCCAGGGTACAGCACTAAATTAATACTGTTTTTTCTTCATCATTTTCTCCCCATTGCTTAAGAGTTCTTGAAGCCAGCATAGCAGAAAACAAAGCATGTTTGAAGAGGACACCTACGGAAGTTTGGAGGGATTCTCGAAACCCTTATGATAGAAAAAGACAGGACAGAGCTCCTGTCGGACTGAAGAATGTTGGCAATACTTGCTGGTTTAGTGCTGTTATTCAGGTAAGGCTGTTTATGCAGATCTTACTTGGGCATGATAGCAGTGGGAAGTAGGCTGGGGTTGTGTGTCTTTTGAGTTGGATACTTGAAACATAACTGCAGGCAACGTTTTAAATACGCCTCTTTGTGTAATGAACTAGTATGGAGATTGCAGCATTCCCCATCTTTCTCTGTTTATCACTTCCAGTATGGAGTTTTGACAATAGGGCACCACTGATGCCTTATTTCGAATTACTTGGAATTAATTTCTTATTTGAAACTAATTTCTCGTCCCTGCCTGATGTTAGGAATTGTTTTCAGAGTGGAAAGAAAATATTTCTATATATATTCCCCTGCCAAGTTAAGGAAGAATGTAACCAAGATATGAAACCAGAACTAATTTTTTTTGGTGAGTCAGATCAGATTTATGTATAATAGAAAATGTTTTTTATAGAATTATAGTCATTTATATACTATTTTTAATAAAAGGGGCATTTTATGTATTTAAGGAGTGTATAGATTAATAACATATTTTCTTTCTAATTTGGAAAGCCCGTAATGAAATGTTTCTTGAGCTCCTTATTCTAAAATGAGACATATTAGTGTGCATATTTANTTCTGAGCTGTTGGAGATTTGCGGTGTTGTTTATTTATTTCTTCCTCTCCCTCTGCTGGCAACCTTAATACTGGCAATGTAGCTTTGTACCTCAAAGCCAGCTAGTACCACTGGTTTTACTTTGGTGAGGCCAGGGAAGGAACCCTTATGTAGAACTTAGCTTTATAGAAAGCTTATTCATTATGCCAGTACTGGACTGTAGAAAGGAACAAGGCTTTGGGACTAGAATAGTATTTCCTTAAAAAAATAACAAAGAGGCCGGCTGAGTGGCTCAGTTGGTTAAGAGTTAGCTTAAGAGCGTGAGCTCTGAGCAACAGGGCTGCCGGTTCGATTCCCACATAGGCCAGTGAGCTGCACTCGAGCTGAGCTGCCGACAGGGGGCAGGATGGCTCAGCTGGTGAGAGCACGTGCTCCTAACAACAAGGTTGCCAGTTTGACTCCCGCATGGGATGGTCGCTATGCCCACCTGCAACTAAGATTGAACACAGCACCTTGAGCTTAGGGGCCATGAGCTGCTGACGGGCAGCCAGATGGCGACTGGCACCCTCCACAACTAAGACTGAAGAACAACAACTTGGCTGGTCCCCCTCCGCAATTCCCCAACACTATTCCTCTCCCCCAATTCCCCAATTAAAATAAATGAATAAATAAATAAAAAATAACAAAGAGGTAGCAGCATCTAATATGTTAATCATCCATTGACACTAAGCACTACTATTTATCATTTATGTTCTAGGTATAAAACAAATCTGTGTTTCTTCTCTCCAGATGCTGATTTACAAATATTTTGTAATACAAATGATTGATTTACAAATATTTTGGTGCAGTATGATAGATGTGTTTATATAAAGTCCTTTAGAGCCAAGAGGTGGTAATGGGAGGAAAACTACTGGAATATGTTCTAAGTCCCTGGTGATACAAAGCTGAAGGTGTATAACCTCTAAATCAAGGAGATTACAGTCATGGCATTCTTTCATCCACCATCTTTTTGTACCAGAATTCTAGCATATGATGTGGTTAAGGAATATTATAATAAACTTATTTCTTTAAAAACCATAACTTTAAAAAGTTATTTNTTTTTTTATTTTTTTATAGTGTTTTTTCTTATTTAGTATGTGTACTATATTCTCTGGTGGCTACAGAGAGTTGCGTATATGATTAAAATTTTAAAAGTCATTTCTGTTCCTTGACTCAATCCTTTCTTCTGGAATTGCTTTTTCTTTATCATTTTCTTAATTACTCTCTTTTGCATTGAAGCTTTCTACAGATGTATAGTGTTCTTTAGGTATCTTTTCATATTTAAAAATGAGGCAGCACATGCTTCCCTGGGCACTTTACTGGTGGAGCCTTTTCAGTTTTGTTCAAGTGGACAGGAGACTAGCTGTTAGTGCTGGTGTGTACTCCAGAGCGCCCAAGTGTGAATGCCTTTGCCCTGGGCTTGCAGTGCAGACTAGTTTTAACTGGTTTTCAAATTGCTTTTTTTTTTTCTCTACAAGTTTTTTTAAAGTAGTTGCACTTCAACTGAGGTTTGATTCTCTTCTATTCCTAGACCCTTGAATCTGAAGTACACATTAGTGACATAGTGAAATAAATCTATAAGTGAAGTAAGCATCATTATGTTCTTCCTAATATATCATATTTTGAAATATGCAAGTCTTGGGGGGGGATACCTTTTGGGATATAATACTGTCAATTTTAATCATACTTATAACTATTTTAATTTAAAACTAAAATGTTGTAGTAAAGGCCTCATCTTTTTTCTCTTGATGAAAGCAAGTAGAGTTATAATTGTAAATTTTAGATTGCTAAAAAAGACAGAGATTACTTTCTTCTGAAGAGTATTGTGATAACTAGGAAACCTTTTTGTTTCCTGTCAGTTATAACCTCACAAGATGAATAAAGTTATAAAAGTTTGGAAGGTTGTTTTAAGGTGTTACAGCTTGCTAGGACAGCTGTAACAATACAGAGCGAATGACTTCAGAACAATAGAAAATGATTCTCTCATAGTCCTAGAGGCCAGAAATCCAAACTCAAGGTGTCGGCAGGGTGGTACTCCCTCCACTGGCTCTGAACGAGAAGGTTCCTTGCCGCCACCATCTTCTGGTGGCCCCTGGTGTTCCTCGGCTTGTGGCAGCAGAGCTCCAGTCTCTACCTTCAGTTCATCTTTACATGTCCCTTTCCTTGTGTGTCTGTGTTTGCTCCTTTCCTGTTCTTATAAGACTACTCATCATTGGATTCAGGGTGATCTCATCCTGAGATCCTTACCTTATTATACCTGCAAAGACCCTTATTCCAAAAACAGTTAGATTCTGAGTTTCCAGGCGGACATGTATTTGGGGAGCTCACTATTTCAACCTACTACAGTTAGTATGGATGTTTATAACTATATTTTTGTGCTGAGTTTAGTTGTCTTCATCTATAAGGCTTCAGAGTAATTTACTTAAAGCTTCCTGGACCTTAGTTTCAAC